AAACCCAGACCAGAAACGTCCTTCACATTTTCTTCAGAGAGGGTGTAAGCATCTCCAGGGATCAGATGGCTCATATCTACAGCTCTAAGACGACAAACGCTCCAGGGACTCATCAGCAGTAGCCAGAGCGGCCCCTTCACCTTCTGGGAATGGGAAGGAGGGCTTCCCAGCAGCACTAGGGTTTGCATTTGGATTCAAAGCACCAGCTTCCCCCGTGGAGACCTGGGTATAGAGGGTGGCAGCTGCACAGAGACCAATACAGCTTTCAACTGGGACAAATAGAAGAGGGAGAGCCAGGCAGTCTTACTTTAGGGAAACAGGTCACGAGGCTCTTCAATTTTGAGTTGGTGTAACTAGGAACCCCCAAGAGTTGAGAAGGTAAACAATGCACCTTCCCCTCCTTTCCTACATCATTGTGAGGAGAGCGTAGAGGCTGAAAGGAGCATGGCCCTCCATGCTTGTTTTAGCTGCAGCCTGGCACCAAGGATGACCTCCAAAAGGTGGGCAGTACAAAGAGGCAGTGGACCATGGCAGTCTGAGAAGCACCTGCTGCCCAACAGGATGGGGCATGAACACCCCTGAGGATTTCTGGTCTACTGAACAACCAGCAACAGCATCTAGGACGATTGCTAAAAGGCACAGCAACTGTAATGAATATCAACAACCGGCTGCTGCTGCAGTTACCACTTAGTTTCAGCATCTGCCTCAGCTAGATAATTCATCCTCTTTCTCACGGGGAACTCTCCCCTGACCCCTGTTACCTCCTCTCATTAAAAAGCAGCCTCTGCATTATCACTTCCTGTGCACTGTCACTGAGGCCACAAAAATGTAAGAGTGACACTCACCTAGCCCTGCCCGTGGGTATTTGGTTCTGCCTCCCAAGTGACATCATGTTTTTGCAGAGTTAGGGAAGAATGAGCCAGGCTTCCCACCGAGACTCACCTCCAAGCCAGGGCTGACCTAAGGAAGTGTGCCACGGGAAAAAGAGCTGCCAAAGCCATCAGAGGAATGCTATCCTTGTATTTGTTCAGAGGAGATTTTAGCAACCACAACTTCAGTAGAAGGCATTGACAAGACAAAGGCAAGTGGCCTTTTCTCTATATGCAGCTTTCCACCCACATCTTCCCACTTACTCACAAGTATGTGAAATATTAATACCCCCATTCAACAGAGGAGATCCTTTCCATCAGGCCTTTGCCCCATGTCAACTTCTCAGGGAAGCTTGCTCTGGTTATGCTATCTAAAATAGCAACACTGGCCAAATGCAGTGGCTCATGCCTGTAATCCCAATGCTTTGGGAGGCCAAGGCAGGAGGACTGCTTGAGCCCAGGAGTTTTAGACCAGTATGGGCAACAGAGAGACACCTTATCTTAACAACAAAAAAAATATGTAATAGCTGAATGCAGTGGCATGTGCCATAATCCCAGCTTCTCAGAGGGCTGAGGAAGGAAGATCACTTCTCAGAGGGCTGAGGAGGTTGAGGCTGCAGTGAGCTATGATCCCACTACTGTTCTCTAGCCTGAGTGACAGAGTGAGACCCTATCTCAAAACAAAAACAGAAACAAAATATCAGTACCAACCCCTACTTAAACACATCTGACCCTGTATATCACCTTAGCACTTTATCACTTTTTTTTTTTGGAGATGGAGTTTCACTCCCGTTGTCCAGGCTGGGGTGCAATGGCATGATCTCGACTCACGGCAACCTCCTCCTCCTGGGTTCAAGCTATTCTCCTGCCTCAGCCTCCTGAGCAGCTGGGATTACAGGCATGCGCCACCATTCCCAGCTAATTTTGTATTTTTAGTAGAGACGGGGTTTTTCCATGTTGGTCAAGCTGGTCTCAAACTCCCGATCTCAGGTGATCCGCCCCCCTCAGCCTCCCAAAGTGCTAGGATTATAGGTGTGAGCCTCCACACCTGGCCATTATCACTTTCTAATATGCCATTTTATTTCCCTTATTGTCTGTCTCTCAGGCTAAAATATACAATGTTTATAATTAGATATTATAAAAGCTCCATGAAGACAGGACAATATCTGTTTTGCTCAGTGCTATGTCCCCAGCAGCTGGAAGAGCGCCTAGCATGTAGTAAAGGCTCATACAGATGTGTCACATGAATGAGTAGGGAGACTGAGGCTCCTAAGGTTGAATCTAGCAATGCAAGCTGTAAAAAGGCAGAACTTGTACTCCACTCAAATTTGCCGATACCGAATTTTCCCCAGGCACTGGTGGAAGTGGAGAAACTGCTACATTCACTGGCATCATGGGAGACAGAGAGACCATCAAGCAAAAGCAGGTACAATAGGACCCAAGGGGAACAAGCACAAGCTGTTTGCATTTCTTTGAGAAAGGCTAGAAAAGCAAAGGCAAGTGGTAGGACTCAAGAGAAAATACAAAAGTGACAGCTGATTGCAGTCTGGTGAAGGAAGAAAAACATAGGAGGATGAGGCAATATGAAAATAGGAACAGAGCTCTGGGGGGAGGAACCTACGCCATCCCCAGGGCCTTCTTTAACAGCAGATGGAAAAATGAAGAATTCGTATAGTATGCTTCACGAAGAGTCAGGAACAGAAAGGGAGCAACAGTCTAAGAGTTTAGGTCGGGCATATTGGCTCACGCCTGTAATCCCAGCACTTTGGGGACCAGGGCAGGTGGATTGCCTGAGCTCAGGAGTTCGAGACTAGCCTGGGCAACATGGCAAAACCCTGTCTTTACCAAAAACACAAACGAAACAGAGCAAAAATTAACTGGTGTGTGTGGCACATGCCTGTAGTCCCAGCTGCTTGAGGTCCTGAAGTGGGAGGATCACTTGAATCTGGGAGGTTGAGGCTGCAGAGAGCAGTGTTCACACCACTGCACTCCAGCCTGGATAAGGAGTGAGACCCCATCTCTAACAGTTAAAAAAAAAAAAAATCTGTACTTTGTAACAGCCCAAAAGACCTTGACGGTTAACATGGGGGTAGAACTGGGGGTGGGGGCTGGGATGAGGAAGTCGTAGAAGGAGCCGATGGTATCCTAAATCAAGATGGGGAGGGGAGAGAAAGAAGGGAAGCTTGTTTCAGAGTGGCCCAAAGGAGAGGTGAGGAGACTGGGTAGCGGCTGTGCACTTAGGCCTACCCAGGTGGAGTCTAAGAGAGCACTCAGCACCTCTCTGGAACAGAAGCAACACACGTAGCCAGGCTGCACTAGAGCCAGACAATCAAGGAAGGTTGTGACAGATGTCAGTGATGGCCATTCCCAGAAGCTGTGCCTGAAATGGCCCCTTTTGCAATCAGGAATTATAAGAAAGGACAAGTAGCCCAGAGAAGCTTCCCTTGGAGTGTGAGTCCTGGACCTAACTGATGCAAGGAATCCTATGGGCTTGCATTGTTGTGGGTGCGGGCCCACCACTGGGCATTCAGAACTCCGTCCTGGGGGAAAATTCTTCAGGGGAAACAATGGTCATGGGAGTGCCTCATGACAGATTAGGGATAATGGCCTGAGAATGGACGATGGGGACCAGGTGGTGCCCTGACCAGGCCAGGCCAGCTTGCCAGCAGATCCAGTGGTGGTGTTTGGGCACCTGACAAGCTCCGCTGGAAAGGAACTCCTGCAGGGTGGTCTCAGAACCAAGATGTAGACACGGCTTTCCCAGAGAGGGGTACCAGACTCCACCCCACTGAGAAATGACCAGAAGGGAGTCTGAACTTCCTGGAAGCATAGAAAAGGCTTTTCTAGGACCTCCCCAGCCTACCGTCCTCTCGGCTTAAGTAAGCACCGAACCAAAAATCATCCGTATCGGTGAAATGACAGGAGGTGGCTGAGACTTGTTTTATAATTATCAGCAAACCAGTGGGAGGGGATAGAAGGAGCAGAGTGGGGATGTGCTGTACAAATTGAAGGTGGAGAGGGTACGGGAGACTTCTTGGACCAGTGTGTAGCAAAATGTCCCTTCAAAACCACAAGCACCCCCCACTGGGGGCTCTAACAAGGTGCAGATTCTCAGGAGGGAGCTGACCCCAGATTTACTAAAAAATATGGAACAGAAAACTCCAGGGCCAGGGCCCGGCAATCTGTGTTTGAACAAGCCCTCCCAGAGGATTGCGCTCACCGGTTCTGATGCTTACTCAAACTGGAGACCCACTGCACTAAATCGTTCCCTCTCCTTTTGTGTATGTGCGATGATTTCCATAATAAAGCCTCTAAAAAAACATCCCTATGGGCATTTTTGTTGTCGAGTTGTTTATTTCTTACATCATTTGTCTTCAATTGCTATTTAACAATTGTTTTGATCTCTTCCTGGAGCCAGAACCGAAAAGCCAGAAAGCCGAAGCCACCGTGTCTATCTCCCTCCCTCTCTCTCTCCCGCACCCCTCCCCACCACACACACACCTCCTCCACCCCCTCCTCCACCCCCCTGTTTGCAAATGTAAACTTCCTGTAAGAGACGCCCCGGGCCGGCGCTCAAGCCACTCACACCTGAAGGCTGTATCAAAAGGGACCCAGGAAAGACTCCCAGAGCGAGGTGCCGCCCGAATATTGGGGCTGCCCTCTTTCCCCGGCCTTCACCTGTGCTCTCCGCGCACGCCGGGTCCCCGCCTCAGGCGCGCCCGCCTCCCGCAGTCCCAGAGTCCGGGCCCCGGTGGCACTGCCACGCATAGATCCTGCGTGGGCACCTGGGGCTCGCGAGAGACGACCCCTCTAGGACTGACTTTCAGAACTGCAGCTCGCGAGATGCGGGTCCCCTGATCTTTTCCGTTCTCCCTTTCAGAAGTTCTTCAAAAAGAAGACGGGGAAGAGGGCGAGGGGAGCTGGAGGTCGAGTCACAGGCCGAGGCCCTCCTTGCACGGTCGCCTCCTCCCCGCAGTTTCGGGTCCTGGATGAGGGTGCGGGGCTCCGAGGACCGGGCGGTCGCAGGAGGTGAAGGGTTAAGAAGCAGCGGGCCACCTCCCATTCCGCGCATCTACTGCCCCTTCCTCCTCCCCTCCTGTTCCTCCCCCCACCCTCCTTGGGTGCTGTAAAACAATCCCTTTGTTTCCTCTTTAAGACAGTTGCCTCAGGGGCCATTATAGGAAAGAGAGGTCGTCAGGCCCTTTTATCTGCAAGAATCCATTAAGCGTGGCCTCTGTGCCTCAGGCCGCTAGGTTAGGGGCTGCTCCGCTAGGGGTCCCGAAGTGGGAGAGCCCCTCCCAAGCGGAGGCCCAGACACACCTGTATCCCATCTCACTCCCTCCCCCTCGGGAACTGGAGTCTGGGGCGAGTGGAAAGCCAGCAGTTCCCAAACGGGAGTGAATGAAGAGCCACGGTGGGTCTCTGGCAAAACCCAGCTTCACACCTTCCTGCCCTCGCGCCATTTGTTCCCGCACACCCGGGAAAGGGGGGAAACTTTCGACGGCAAGATGGGGCGTTTCTCTGCTGGTCTCCGTTCGGGGCCGCCGCCGGGCGCGGGAGAGGGGACGCCAGCAGCTGCTAGTCCGGGTGACCAGACGCGCACGTGTCCGTCCGTCCGTTCTCGTGTGGGCGGTTCGAGGGTACCTGAGGACGCCTCGGGCCCCGGAGCCCTGCGCGCATTTGATGGTGGTACTGAGCCACAGCTGCGAATTTTGCCACTGGGGTACCGAAAGAGGGCCTTTTACCTTTCTTGGAAGCTGTGATGCAAAATGCCTGCTGAAAGCACTAAAGCACTGGAGGTTTCATGTGTCTCATCAGAAAGTAATCTGACACCGACTCATTATATCTTCCCCCGAGAACCAGTCGCCCCAAATGCCCGATCCATCCCACCTAGACGCCCAGTCACGACAACAAACACCGCCGGCAGGACGGGCTCAGGACTGCCGCTCCGCGGTCTGGTTTTGGGGGCCAGGCGCAGAGGGAGGGGAGAAGTCGTGGCAGCCTGGCCCGGGCTGTGTGACGCTTCCATCAAGTTTTGGGGGAGGAATATTTTCTTTTTTAAATTGCTAGTAATTCGGATTGTTGGGAGTGGCGGTGGCAGGAAAGCAACAAAAGAAAGCTCTTTCTTTAAATTCTCTGTTGTATCCAGGTCAAAGACACAATATCAAGTCAGTGTCTCTTGAAATCTCTGTGGAATGACCTTCTTTGGATCTTCTCCTGCTCTTTCACTATGAATATAAATATTTTCTCCACTTACCATATGTTACCCACGCACTTCCACAGACCCCACCGCCACCGCCCTGCTGGGCTCCTTGCAAAAGGAAAGTCTGCCCTGCTCTCTCCTCTCAGCCAGGAGGGCAGGGGGAGGAGGGAGCAGTGTTGTTCAAGGGACAATGTCACTTTCCTCTTCATCAAGATTCTTTGTCAATTGCTGGGGAAATAATTGACCTCAAGCTACTTCAGTCACAACCAATAGAAAAATGGAACGGTGATGTGTCCAGCTGTTATGGGGGAGGCAGGCTGAAAAACAAAGATGGCAAGGAAGGGGGCTGACATGAAAAATATGTAAAGCTTCATGTGCAAATTCTTGGGAAACAGTGGAATTTCACTTTAAAATAAAACACAACACTAGAATTGGGTTCATTTGTCACATCTCCAAGGTTGCAGTTCTTGATTCGTGCCTTCGGATAGCTTAAAAGGAGAATCCCAGCACAGAAGCTCTTTAACACATGTGCTGTTTTTTTTATTTTCTGACCCTTTCCTTAACTTACACAATGGCACTTTTTCCCAACACCCTGCACTCAGTTAGCAGCCAGAACGATTCAGCTCCCTCTGATTCAGGGGCCCAGGGAATCATTTGGTAGTTCTGTGAGTATTCTTTGGCATTTGTTCTTTTTTGTTTAGTTTTGGGTTTTTGTTTGTTTGTTTTACTTGTTGGCTTTGTCAGTAGCAGATGAAAGCAGCCTGAAAGAGAACAGGAAAACTGGGAGTGAGAGGGATCACCAGAAAGAGCCAAGAAGAAATTCAGCAATTGGCTTTTCTTGCTTCCCTTAAAGAGATGATGGTCAGGAGTGGTTTGTTAAAACAAATCTCATGTTTAGCCCACAATATGTCCCATTTATGAAGCTGATCCTGTTCCAGGTTGGACCAATCAGGCAGGAATCAATAAGGACATTCGATGCCACCAATGCGGTAACAAGCAAGAACAATATCAAACAGCAACGCAGCGAGGCCTCAAACATGAGCTCTTAGCCTGAACTGTGTCCTCTTCAAAGAGGAGAAAAGAGGACTTGGGGTAGTGGGGGGGGGGGGTAGTGGGAGAAGTGGGAATCCAGATACTACAAAACAGCCCAAAAGCTTCTGTGGTACACATGGACCTTCTAGTGTGCGACTAAACCAGTGTAGTTAATGTGTGAGTGCTGAGGAACAGCCACCGTGAAGAGCCAAGATCCCTGCCTTCTCCAGGCCCAGTACTGAAACACAAAAGGTGAAGAAGAGTAATATTAATACGGCCCAAACCCCTGTCACCTGGGTGAAAGAGCTCATCAGACTTACAAATGTATTTCTGACAGCTTATATCTCCTCTGTGGAGTTGCAGGGAGTGGGGACTGAGTGGGTCAGGCCATCCTTAAAAGCAAGCACATCAGTGTACAGAAAGTAAATGCTATCAGTGCAGATGCTCAGTGACAAATATTTGGTATAATTGCAGAAATTTCCCCAAGAGCTTGATGCATTTTTCTCCAATGAAATTTTTAAAATTTGTGTCTGCTCTAAGATGTCCCCGGTAAACACCATAACGGGTTCTGTGGTTGGAATGTTTGTGTCCTCCCCAAATTCTCAAGTGAAAATCTTATACCCCAAAGCCATTGTAATAGCAGGTGGGACCTTTGAGAGGTAGTTAGGTCATGAGATTAGGGCCCTTCTAAAAGAGGCCTGAAAGAGACTCCTCACCCCTTCCATGTGGTGATGCAGCTAGAAGACACCACCTGTGAAGCAGGAAGCAGGGCCTCACCAGACACTGAACTGCCTGCACCTTGATCCTGGAGTTTCCAGCCTCCAGGACTGTGAGCAATAAATGTATGTTGTTGATAAGCCCCTCCATCTATGGGACTGGGTTATAGCAGGCTGACTGGACTGAGATGGTCAGCATATTTCCAAATTTCTCCAACCTCTCATAGGTGCTTTCCAGATCTTCTCCAAGGCATAGAACAACCAGCAGCTATAATTTATTTCTCTCAAAATTACTAACTCCAACCAGTTGAGTGGTATGTATGTATGTATTTATTTATTTTTGAGATGGAGTTTCGCTCTTGTTACCCAGGCTGGAGTGCAATGGCCTGATCTCGGCTCACCGCAATCTCCGCCTCCTGGGTTCAGGCAATTCTCCTGCCTCAGCCTCCTAAGTAGCTGGGATTACAAGCACGCGCCACCATGCCCAGCTAATTTTTTGTATTTTTGGTAGAGACGGGGTTTCACCATGTTGACCAGGATGGTCTCCATCTCTTAACCTCATGATCCACCCGCCTCGGCCTCCCAAAGTGCTGGGATTACAGGCTTGAGCCACCACGCCCGGCCCGAGTGGTATTTATTTAAGGAAAGACTTTACTGCTTAAGGAAGTCTCCAGTGTTCATCACTGTTTAGAGCTGCTTAACCCTGTTTCATTTGAAGCTAGAGAGATTTTTACATCTAACATCCTTGAAAAGAGCTGGTTCTGGACTAGCCGTATTCTAGCTGTATCTAGAACTTCACCTAATGGAACTTCACCTAATAGAAGTTCATCTAATCATTCAAAGGTGAGGCTGTTGAGTTACTGTCTAGTAATGGTATGAATTTGCACTGCACTCTCTGTGTTCTCTTTCCGTCTTCCTTATGACCCCTGGCACTCATTTGCAAGGTGGGAAAGCAGGATTGGGGTAAAATCTGTGGATATAGTAGTTAGTAAGGCTAATTGGCTCCTGTGAAAATGAAACCTATGGCTTGGCCTCATTAGCCTTGCATTAAATCTAACATCTCAAAGTGCAGTTGAATGGACATAGCTCTTACCTGGAACATATTTGTAATTTGGTAGAATCCAATATGGTGCTCACCAAATATTGCCCCATCCTGAGATGTTCTGGGTGAAACAGGGGAAATTAAAATAAGATGTCAATCAGTATTCTAGATTTATGAATATAAAATGTGTTCAAAGTAGCATATGGCTTTCATTCTGCAAGTAATTTAGGTTTAAACATCTTAGGCTGGGCACAGTGGCTCATGCCTGTAATCCCAGCTCTTTAGGAAGCCAAAGTGGGCAAATCACAAGATCAGGAATTCGAGACCAGCCTGGCCAACATGTTGAAACCCCAAGTCTATTAAAGATACAAATATTACCCGGGTGTGGTGGCACGCTCCTGTAATCCTAGCTACTTGGGAGGCTGAGGCAGGAGAATCACTTGACCTCAGGCAGCCGAGGTTGTAGTGAGCCAGGATCCCATCATTGCACTCCAGGCTGGGCAACAGGGCACACAGTCTTAAAACACATTTTTATTATGTGTAAATTATGATTCTATTATGTAAAAATAAAAAAAATGCCTAGAAGAAAAGCTAAAAAGAAAGAAATAAAAATCATTTATGTTTTCATTTCGATGGCAGCATTATGAGTAAATGATTTTTTTCTCATCTCAGTTTTCCAAGATGCCATTGAGTGGTTACAATTACTTGCTTGCTAACGGAATAAAATATATGATTGTTCCATAAATATTTGTTAATGCTCATGCATAGGAATCACTCTAAAAATGTGACTTGACAAGTACAGTTTCTGTTTTCTGAAAAAACAGTGACTTGAACAAGCATAAGAAGAAGTAACAGGAGGAAAGGAGCAGCCATGAGTGCTTCCTACCATCTGTCGGGCATGTCACAGCGTTATCTCATTTAATTCCCTGTACTGGTAAAGAAGACGCTGATTTTACAGAGTAGGGAATTGAAATGCTAAGAATATGTGTAAATTGCCCAAGATCTCACTGGTAAAGGGGTCATTCACGCTCAGTGTTTTATGCTTTTCTCTTGCTACGTGAAAGATGTAGTGGCAGCAGAATCAACATTTAATAAGTTACACAAATAACTAAGTGTAACATCCTGTCCTACCAAAAATTACTCTGTAGAACAGCTGGTCTGATTGCACCCCTTTCACAGAAATCCCCCCCCCAATAAACACACACACTACTGTTACTGATTGGATCAGAATGGTCACCTGGCCCAAAGTTGCTGAGCTATGGACTTCTAAGTGACCAATCAGATCCTCTCTTCTCAAGAATTTGCATAAAGAGATGTATAAATTGTGGTAAAGTCTACAGTAAGCTTTGCAATTCAGATCTTAGGTCAGCTGGGACACTAGAAAGGAGTCAGTTCTGTAGAGAGCAAAGGTAACAGAGGATGGAGGCTGCATGGATAAGCAGAGAAGACAGGCCTACACAGCAGGGAGGGAAGCAGAAATGGAGAAACAAGAGGCCTCCAGTGTAGTTCAGAAAAGCTGTCCCATTCTCACAGCTCCCCTGTGAGCAATCTTTCCCATGGAGCCTGTGTACTTGAACAATATCACATTTTATTTGAACTAGCTTGAGTGAATTTCTTTTCGTGCAATCAAAATATCTCAAACTACATGCCTATAATCCCAGCACTTTGGGAGGTCAAGGTGGGATGATGGCTTGAGCCCAGAAGTTTGAGACCAGCCTGGGTAACATAGTGGGAATCCTGTGTCTACAAAATTTTTTAAAAGCATTAGCCGAGTGCGGTGGTGTATGCCTGTAGTTCCAGCTACTTGGGAGACTTGAAGTGGGAAGATAGCTTGAGCCTGGGAAGTCAAGTCTGCAGCGAACTATGATTGTGCCACTGCACTCCAGCCTGAACGACAGAGTGAGACCAAAGAAAGAAACAAAGCGAAGGAAGGAAGGAAGGAAGGAAGGAAGGAAGGAAGGAAGGAAGGAGGGAGGGAGGGAGGGAGGGAGGGAGGGAGGGAGGGAGGGAGGGAGGGAGGGAAGGAAAGGAAGGTAAAGAAAAGAAAGGAAAAGAAAGAAGAAAGGAAAGAAAGAAAGAAAGAAAGAAAGAAAGAAAGAAAGAAAGAAAGAAAGAAAGAAAGAAAGATCTTAAACTGTAGAAGCAATAAACACACGCTTTCTCAAAATCTCAAGTCTTAAGCAAGTCTCTGCCTGGCTTTGCCAATGCTGACCAGTGCTCCCAAATACATATCCATGTGGATGTCTCTCAGGAACCTGAGACTCAATATTCACTAAGTGAATCCATCCATTTCCCTCCACATGCTCCCAGTGTTTCCAAACTCAATGAATGTCACTAATATCCTCTAAGGTTTCTGACCTGAGAGTTCCCCTCAACCCTCCATTCTTAGCTCCCTGGATACAACCTGTCTCAAATACTCTCAAATACTGTCCCCATCCTTCTGCTTCTCTGCCCCACCCTAGTGCAGGCTTCACCACCTCCCATACTGTGGGCGGCAACCTTGCCTTGGTCTTGCTCCTTTCCAACAGCCAAGTATGGTCAGTGTACACACACACACACACACACACACACACACACACACACAGCAGCAGCAGCAGCATTTAAAACCCTCCCATGGCTTTCCTTTTAGGGTAAAATCAAAACTCATGTGCATGGTCTCCAGGGCCCTGTTCATTGTAACCTCTCCAGTCCTGTGTCTCAGCATCCTGCCTACACTCTGACCAGGCTGAACCGCTTTCAGTTCCTCACACATGTCAAGCTTCTCTGCCTGAAGAACTTTTGTGTACCCTGTGCCTCTCCGCATGGAATTCCTCCCCTACCTAGCTGCTCTTACTCTTCTCCTGTGCCTCAACTTAGATTTCATGTCCTCCACAAAGTCTTCTCTAATCTTCTGAACTTAAGGTTAAGTATCCCTAGTATGTGGCCCTGTAACCTTCTGTGCCTGACCAGCTAGAGCACCTGTCGATCTTCATTGTCACTGCTTGTTTGTATTGTCTCCCTGGTTTGAGTGTAAACTCCCTGCAGTCAGGGCATTGCTTTGTTATATCTCCAATGCTGAGCCCATCCTGTGATCAGAGAGGAGCACAGATCCTGGGGGCCTGGCTACATAGCAACTAGAGTATCACAGCCATGAGGTGTTCAGGATCTAGGCATGTTTGACAGTCTTGGAAAAGAAACAGCTGTAAGAAGGAGACAGTATGAAAAAAGAAACTTTGGACCAGAGTTTCAGTAGATGAGGACAGTGGTAGAGAAGAAGAGTATTCAAAAGAAGATGGAACAAGTATGACTCCAAGACATTTAGAAGTTGACAGAGTATTTCTGGTTTAGCAGGAAGATGATGATTTGGTTTTGTGAGAGTAGGACTGGGTTTGGTGACGGCACAAGAAGTCCAAGTGAAACAAAGTTGCAGGAGAGAGGCAAAGGCCAAAGATGACTTGTCCAGAGGTGATGGTGGAATGAATGAAGGAGCTTCTACAGTGTGAGCCAAATACAGGGCCAACAGGAACCTTCCAGTTAAGTCAAGAAGAGCAGACTTGAAGATGGAAGGAGACCTTCAAGGAATCAGTGAGAAAGCAGAGATCGGAGTCCATCCCCAGAGCGTAATAGGAAGTTACGAAGGCCAAGAGAGGAGAGCGATTAAGGAGGAGCTAGCTTGCAAGATTCAGTGCTGATTGTTGTAATGGCAAGCATGTATATTTGAGCCCTTTGCATGAGCGAGGCGTTTCGAGGAACTCTTCATCAATGACCTTGTTTAATTCTCACAGTTTAAACAAGGTTGAAATTCTACGACTGCCAACAATTATTTCCCCAAGTCTATGAGATGGGTGGCACTATTATTCTCACTTTACAAATGAGTTAACAGAGGCTCCAAGAAAGCCTATAGCTTACCAAGGCCATATGCCCAGTAAGCAGCAGAGCTAGGGCTCAGACCCACTGTCTTGGAACTTAGAGCTGGAACTTGGGAGATCAAGGGAAAGCTGGAATGGGGGGTAGGGTAGGGGAAAGGAGAATATCAGTTTTCTGTGACTCCACATGGCTTGATGAAACAAAGCAGAAGTCTGTATTGTGGAAGAGAAGTGAAGTTGGAAAAGATAGGAAGCCTAGCTTCTCTTCTGATGAGTGGGGCCAGGAGAGGGTGACAGTCAGAGGGCAGGAGAAAAGGAGGCCCAGGCCTCTAGACCCACGTCCCTGCCTCTGCCCAGCAGCTGCCTCTGCCCAAAAGAGTGAGCTAAGGTGGCTTCTCCAGAGCCTTCTCCGCTTCCTGACTGTGAACAGCCCCAGGGTTGCTATTCTGGGCCCTTTTCAACATGCCAAGGCGCCCTTGAGAGCTGGCAGTGCAGAGATGGAGAACAGCTAGCCCCCAATCAACTTCCCAGGGCCCCTGTGTAAAGCTTCCTGCAGCCCTGCCAAGAGGCAGAGGAACAGGAGGTGGGCAGGCCAAGGCATTTAGAGACCCCACGAGGGGACCTGCCTGAGGCAAACAGCTGGGGTGTCCACAGCACCCCATTTTAAAAGAGGCCAGAAAGAGTCAATCTTAGTGCATGAGTTTACTTACAACTGCCAACAATTATTTCCCCAATATGGAGGGCTGGGGATGAAGGCAAAAGAGTCCTCCAACCCCCGCCTCAGCCCCCAGTTCCTCTTCTTCCTGCTGCCTCATATACTCTTCCTTTATTTCTTCCTCTCCCTCATTTTTCTTCCCAAGGACTGGAAACCCATCCGTCAAGAACCTAAGTTTAGGAAAAAGAGAAGCAGGTCCAGGCACGTTGGCTTATGCCTGTAATCCAAGCACTTGGGAGGCTGAGGCAGGCAGATCATTTAAAGTCAGGAGTTCCAGACCACTGTGGCCAACATGGTGAAACACCGTCTCTACTAAAAATGCAAAAAAATTAGCCAGGTGTGGTGGGGCGTGCCTGTAATCCCAGCTACTTGGGAGGCTGAGGTAGGAGAATCGCTTCAACCCGGGAGGCGGGGGTTGCATTAAGCCAAGATTGTGCCACTGCCCTTCAGCCTTTAGCGACAGAGCGAGACTCCATCTTAAAAAAAAAAAAAAGCATGAAGGAAGGAGAGAGAACCTCTTTTCCTAGGAACTCCACGAAGAGAAGAATCAAATCTGTGGACTCACTCCCCAGGCCGGGGAGTGTGATTGAAGAGTTGCAGACCTCCAGGTAGACAATTGGGGCAAAGCTGGGGACTGAACGTCGGGCCCCTTGGGGCATATACGCACAAGCAGAATCAAAGGTAGAGAAGAAAGGAAACCACGCCCACATCAGAGCCGACTGCTTCCGGTGAGCACAAAACTCCCCTACGAGGAATTTTGGTCCTGCATTGGATGGGTCATGGATCTCTCACCTCAAACCTTTGCAACCCCAGCCGCTCCCACCAGTCTGCCAGCTCCCAAGACACATGCCTTTCCACCTCCCTCCCGCACATCAGACCCCATTTATTTCCCTTTGCTCTGTTGCTTCTGCTGCTTTCAATAAATATGGCTGGCTTTAAAGTCAAGGCAAAGGAGATTTGCAGATAAAAGGAAAGAGGTCTGAACTCTCAGTTGTGTTGCTGGCTTGCAAATGGACCCGAATCAAGAATACAGGCAGGCCACAGTAATAACAGCACCCCTGGGGGGTGTGCAAATCACCAGCTCCGGTAAGCGCAGAGGTGTCTGTGGGTGAAGGGACCCTGTGCCCCTTCTCCACTCTATTTCTCCCCCAACCCCGTGACAGGGGCCTCCACGTAGCTCATCTTGGCCTCGGGTCTTTGTGCCATCTCTGCCTGGATCGTTTTTTTCAAGGGACACCATGGCTGGCTCAAATATCAACTTCTCAGAGAACCCTCTCTATTCAGTTTTATTATCTTCAAGGCACTTATCCCTATCGAATTTTTTTTTTTTTTTTTTTTTTTTTTTGAGACAGAGTCTCGCTCTGTTGCCAGGCTGGAGTGCGGTGGCGTGATCTCCGCTCACTGCAACCTCCACCTCCCGCATTCAAGCCATTTTCCTGACTCAGCCTCCCGAGTAACTGGGATTACAGGTGTGCACCACCACGCCCAGCTAATTTTTGTATTTTTAGTAGAGGTGGGGTTTCAGCATGTTGGCCAGGATGATCTTAGTCTCTTGACCTCGTGATTCACCTGCCTCAGACTCCCAAAGTGCTGGAATTATAGGCATGAGCCACCACGCCTGGCCCCCAAAAGTTATTTTTAAAATTCCTAGCCCCCACTGCCACCCCATAAAAGCTCCATGAGAGCATGGCCTCGAGGCACCCTGTTCTTGCCTGCATCGGGACACATAGAAAAGTATCCAGCTTTTATCAAGGCTGCGATGTAAAAGTGTATCAAATTGAATTCTTTGAAAGGGAAGCTTCAACCCACAAAAAGCAGCCAAATGTGTAGAATGATTGTTTATCAGCAATTAAAATTTAGTTTCAAATCATTATTTTTACCTATCTTTCAAAACAATAGTCCATCTTCTCCCTGATCAGTTGCCTCTTTCCTTTCATCTGGCCAGATCTTACATTTGGAATGTCGAGAATATCTGTAGACTCCCGACAGTTAAAGGAAACCTATGGCTTTAAAAAGACGGTCATCACTGAAGATTGCATTAAACACACTGTAAAAGGAAAATCTCCAAAGGAGATAAAGGGCCTCGGAGGTGGGTGGTGCCTGCCCAGCTGCCCCACCCCTGCAGGGAAACCTGCCCGAGGCCTCCTTAACCCTTCCGTGGCCCGCACCTCAGGAAGATGCTGGGAAAGATCAGAAGAATCCAAGCACTACTTGCTGACTGGAAGAAAACAGCAAAAAAGGAAAAAAAAAAAAAAAGACCGATTCCAGTGTTGCTCCCCACCCCCATCCTTTCTTCTTCCAAAGAGCCTTCTGTTCAGAGAAATTAAAGGACTCTGATAGCAGATCACAAATTCAGGACAGAAAAGCTCCACTATGTAGCCAGAGACTGTATTGTGGGTGACCAGACGTTGGGCACTTTTTTTGCTTATGAACTTTTGGACACCATTCGAATAAAAGACTATTTGTTCCTGGACAAACACCAGCAAAGAAGCTTTTAACAGGAGGGAATATTTTTGTTTTGCATTTTCTTTTTGTGAAAAAAAAATGAGAGAGTGAAAGAGAAGAGATGGAGACACTTGCTCTACTTACTTTGCACATAAAAGAACTTAGACTAATTTGTTTACTATTGCTGGAGATTCATGTTTACAAGTTCCTGCAGCATTGTGGTAAAAGAAATGCTATTTTTAAAAAGTAAAAAACCACACAAGCCTCCACATTCAGGGTTCTTCTTCCCCTTCCTGCCTTCCTCACTCCCCACTTTCATTTCACAGATGGCCACAAACACTGAGCCAAGTAGAAGCTCAGGAGGCCCTTGTCTTTCTCTCTCAGACCCCTTTCTGACTCCCCTCTGAAAGGCTCAAACCTGAATTTGGAAGGCAATCTCTAGTCCAAGTTCAGTGGACTTCTACTTGCCACCAAAGTCACACCCCAGCTGTGCTCCTTTTCAGCAAACCAAACTCCTGGCAGACCTGAATACACACCCTAGGTTTCAATCCCCCACCCCCTTGCAGTTTTCATTTTCCTTATATACAGTGACCGTTTCTGAAATCAAGCTAGCAAGAGGTTGAATAATGTCCTTTTTAAAAGAGGGTGTGTCGTAACTGGGTCACTAACTGTGTGACTAATCACGGGTGCCTGTAACCACAGCGACTGTGGCTTCAACCTGACTTGGTCATTTGTAAACCACAAAATGACCCAGCCATCTGCAGGGGCTGCTGGCTCGGGAGCTCCTGGCTCTTCCCAGGCCTGTCACCTCCTCACCCACAGGAGCAATGGGAGCAGCCTGGGACCACCCTCCCCTTGCCCCTGCACCGGCAGCATCTGGGGAAGAGCTCCTCACTTGAAACCTCTTCTTACTCAAGTCTTTACAGGCTTGTGTTGCAGAGACAACCGCAGCAGGCATTGGCAACAGCTGCTCTCCAGCCTGAGTTCCATTTAGCAACACCAAACCCCAAGGAGAAAAGGAGGGGGTCTAGAATACGTTTTTTTTCAAGAAAAAAAAAAAAAAGCCTGGAAAAGTGGCCTGAGAAAAAACTTCCCCCAGCTAGTTTAGGGCTCTTTGCTATGCCTAATACTTATTCATTGCACTAAAACATGATAAAATCCATAAAGTTTTCTCCAGTCACTAACACAACTTAAGGACCTTTCAAGACAGGAGTATCCTTTGCCCCAGGGTCCACAAATGTATCCTAAATTAGGAGCACTAAGGCTGCTGTGTCTCAAGGCGGGTCCCTCCCAAGGATGGCCCAGATAGGAAGCAATGCAAGGAGGAACGATTACCAGCCTAGTTTCCGGAGACCCAAGTTCATTTTGGTGGGTCCTGCAGCTCTAAGAAAAATCTTAGGCCACGGCCTTATTTGCTTGCAATTGAGGAGGATGATGGGTGATAGTGGCAAGGAAGGTCTGCTCTGGCTACCTCTCAGCAGGAACCCTCCACCCCTTCTCTCTGAGAATGGCCACTTTTTTCTTCATGGTCTGAGTAAAATTGGTCGAAGGTACACAAAGGACTAAGCAATCTTTCTTTCAGCCCCACCTCCTTACCTGTGTTCCCCCCATTTCCTTCACCATCAATCCCGCTTTTTTTTTTATTCCTTAACACATTAATTCAGAAGGGCAACTGCTTCTATCCTGGGAGGGAAAAGTTTTCTCCAAAAGGACAGACGGAAGCAACAAATGGGAAGGAAACTGACAACGCTTGTGAAATCCCAAACCGGATTGGTAAGAACAACATCATAAATTATGGATCCCTCTAGCCGCCTCCGGCCTGTCACTACGTGGTCTGTCTCCACGGCCCTGCCCGGCGCGGGCGACACTTGTCCATGAGCGCGGGTCTCCGGGGCCTCAGATGTCCCCGCCCGGCCTGGCCATAGCGCCCGGCGAGGTGGCCCAGAGTAGGGCGGCGGGGGCCACTGGACGCTCAGCCGGGAGGGACACGCCAGCTGCGGGGATGACGCCCCCCCAGCCGGCAGAGCACAGGCTCACCATTGTTCCCGGAGACCCCCGTGGGAACACCCCGAGCTAGCCTGGGCGCTCCCAGCGGCCAGGGATGAAGAAGGGAATGCGAAAGGCGCCGGGGCGGGCCGGCGGGCGGAGAGGGTGCCGGGTGCACCCGCCACTCCCGGGCGCGCAGGGCCGGCTGCCTTGGTGGGCGGCGTGGCAGGACCCCGGGCAGAGTACGACATCTGCGCGAGAGCGCGGGGGCGGGAGGGGACGTCGTCACACTCAGGACGCCCATCTGGACCGGCTTTCCTCCCGTGCCAGAAGCGAGGAGGGAGAAGTCAAGGTTAAACGCTGCGGTGGGGCTGCGGGCGGGCACTGGCGGGGGCGCACAAAGCTGCCGGCCCCTCCACCCGCGCCCAGCTTGGCGCACGCTGCCCTCGGCCCGCCGAGATCCCCGCGCAGGCTCCTGTGGCCCCACCTTGCCCTTTGTCTTTCCTCCCGAGCAGATGTGCTGTGACCCCTGCAGCATTCGGGCTGTCAAGATTAAAGGAGCCTCCACTCTGTTTCGAAACTGCAACTCTTGTCCCCTAGACCACCTCAACCCCACCTCTTGCTTTGTTTTTGTTTTGCGTTTTTGGCCACAAGTCAACCACTCATCACAAGGTGGGCAAACCCCTCGGTCCACATTTAAATTTGTTTGTGTGACAAATTGGCCTGCCGTTCTGCCCTCTTAGCGACTGTAACCAGCACCAGAGAAACAATGAATTACGAGATTAAAGTTACGGAAAAACGATTCATCCTGCAGATGTTGTCTGCTGAAGGCTGCTCTATGGACAAATATGTAAAGGGTCTTTTGTGTGTGTGTGTGTGTGTGTGTGTGTGTGTGTGTGTGTGTGTGAAAAGCCAACAGCCTCACATTTGTTCTTCGGTAATTTGTCTTCAGTATGCCCCTCCCATCCCCATGATGAAAGGTCAATTATCAGACTCAAAAATAAGCAACCTTATCTGGCAAGCCTGTACTCCCAGAAACGAATGGGAGAACTGGGGTTTCTCTTGGGGCAGAGAAAAGGGAACTCCAAATCAAGCTGAATTGTGTGTGAGTCAGGCTCTGGAGAAAATCGTGGGTAAAGGAAATGTGGGGGGCGGTTTCCTGGATTTCTGTTGCAGGAAGAAACCACCGAGGGAGGGAGGGCTGCTGGGGGAAGAAGTGAGGGAGGGGCGGAGGAGGAGAGCGTGGGCCGGGAAGGGAGGGAGAAGGGCCTCCTTAGGGCCGAGGGAGAGGGGCGGGGTGGATCGGTAGGAAGGCCGGGGTTTCTTTGTTTAGTTGGTGTGAGCTGGGGCTGGGCGTAGTGAATTCGCCTAAGTGTGCACCGCGCGGTCAGCTGCCCGGCGAGGTAACAGCTGGCACCTGTGTGCGAAACGCAGCCTGCATTAGCAGCATCATTATTCAGCATTAGAGCATTACAAAGATAATTACTGCGAGTTAGAAAAGCAGAGGACAGAAGGAATTGAAACCCCAGACCCCTTGGCTTATCAAACTCCCAGGTTACAAGAGTAATTTCAAGCATCTTTGGGAAAGCCACCTCTCAGAGAGCTGTGAGTCTGCCACGCTAAAGAGGACACTCGGGAGACGCGACAGCTGGAGCCAGTGGCACAGGGGCTCTATTCCAGGTTTCATCCTGGCTCAAGGATCAAATGAGGGTCATAGCCAGGATGTCGAAGGTCATCACACTAACATTTTCTGATCTCCAAAGCAGTTCTCCTCAGACTGTCGGAACCATCCTTCTTTAATCTAGAATTAAACGGGTCAAATGGAGTAGTGCAGGTACATTCATCTTGGAGTAACAATGATAGCCACAACAATTAACAACTGTCCAGCTCTTTTTGTGTCAGACCCAATGGAAAGACTTCTGTGAATTCTCTCCCGCAGTCCTCACAGCAACCTTAATGAGGGCATGATTATTACAGCCATTTGATAGATGAGAAACCTGAGGCTTTGAGAAGAGTCAGCAAAGTTCTTCAGCATTTTGCTCCCAAATTTACTCTGAGGGTCTTGAGCAGCGATCCCCAACGTTTTCAGCACCAGGGACCATTTTGTGGAAAACAAATATTCCACAGATGTTGGGGGATGGTTTCAGGATGATTCAAGCACATTACATTTGTTGTGCACTTTGTATCTGTTATTATCACATGGTAATATATAAAGAAATAATTGTGAAACTCCTCATAATGTAGAAACAGCGGGATCCCTAAGTTTGTTTTCCTGCAACTAAATGGTCTCATGTGGGGGTGACGGGAGATAACAACAGATCCTCAGGCATTCAATTATTTCTTTCTTTTTCTTTCTCTTTTGTTCTTTCCCTTCTTTCCTTCCTTCCTTCCTTCTTCTCTCTCTCTCTCTCTCTCTCTCTCTCCCCCGCCCCCCCCTTTTTTATTTTTGATGGAGTTCACTCTTGTTGCCCAGGCTGGAAAGCAATGGTGCCATCTAGGCTCACAGCAACCTCCACCTCCCAGGTTCAAGTGATTCTCCCGTCTCAGCCTCCCGAATAGCTGGGATCACAGGCGCATGCTACCACGCCCAGCTAATTTTGTATTTTTAGTAGAGACGGGGTTTCTCCATGTTGGCC